CGTTTTTATCTTATCGATATATATCGATGTTTTGCTATATATCGATATGTATCTATATAAAAAATTTTCTGATGTCATCAAAGCATTATACACATTTCATTTTTCCCAATCTATTTTTTTCACCACAGGTCAGGGATCAAAAGACACATTAGACTGTAAGTATTTTATGCAAATGAAGATATGTGACAAAAAGTCACCGATCACAATCAGTATTAAAGGGTCAATGAACAAGTCATTCACAGCACTTTTTACTTTTACAACTCATCAAAGCCTTGCAATATTCATTTTCTCTCGATCTATCTTATTCGCCACAGAGTAGTCTCTTGATTTTGTCATAGCAACTAACTTGTTTTGAGTGCTTATTCTATTATTGTAACAATATCTGATGCATTTTCACTTGCCAAGTTTTCTAGAAGCATATATCGTTTTAGTCAGTTTAAATTACTCATAATGTATTTTACAGATTTGTTCTTTAATTGATTTTTTTTCTGGCACTTTTAACTAGCCAGTTTTCTTCCAACTACATGACAATTCGTATCTATGCTTTTCGATTGTGGTTTTTTGTCTAATGGCAAAATTCAGATTTTATTAATAAATGAATTATCAATAATTTACAGTTAGCAGTATATTTTATATAGTTAAGTCAATTTTATATTAAAAGTGTTATTCTAGTTATTGAAAGTTGAGCTTTACTTGCTAAAGATTTTTTGACGATACTGCTCATTATTGGTATCTCATATAATCAAGCATACGTGGACGAATGCAAAACATGAATTAGACCATACCTGATACACTTCATTCTTGGTATAAACAAATTAATTTTATATATTTAGTCATAACTTACTATATACAATTATAAAAAAATTAAGGTATTATATCTGCTTCCAGATCTGATATAACTTAATTTCAAAGCCTGCTTTTAAATCTCATATTCTCTATTCCTGGTTTTGCGCTACTGTTTAATATTAAAGTATCTGAATAATGATACGTATGTACTAGATACGGGGTTATCTGATATTTTTAAATCGGGTTTATATTCATTTGTTCTCAGTTTAGCTTTTATAAACTCAGACATATCTGAAAATATCCGAGTCCAAATATGTCTGAGTCCAAAAATCTTACTCGGACATTGTCTGAATGACAATATATTTACTCAGACATAATTCGGACTCAGACATCGAACAATATCCGAAAATGTCTGGTCTGTCATATTTGGCTCAGACATCAAAAATGGACAACACTGGTCAGGAAAGTGTACATAATATATATATATATATAATTTCATGCAACCTTATTATTGTATCTAATTAAATATTTACACATATCTATATTTAATGACTCATAATTAATAATATAATAATAATTTGTATAATAATATAATTATATTATATTTAAATGATACTTAAACAAAAATGATACTTTTAATAAAAATATAAAGTATATTTAATGCTATTATTCTATTTGATTCTGGTTTATTATAATAATATTTTGTTATAATAACTACTTATTCTATTTATGTTTTGTAATAACTATAATAATATCTTGATTAAAAGCAATTATTTTTACCTAAAAACTATTTTTAACTCAAATAAAATAACATTTATTAGTTATTACTTTGTTTTTTTTTATTATTAAAAAAATAATATAATAATAATAATAGTTAAATTTTTTATAGAGACCTATCTCCATGGTGACCCTATATATAGCAGCCAATTATATTTTAGAATTAATACAATTTTTTTTATTTTTTATTATAAAATTTTTAAAATTTTTAACTAATTTTAATTGGCTAATAGTAAGCAACTTATTATATATCCACATGCTCAATTTTGATTGGCTATTCATATATGGTTACCATGGTGACCTGTTATTATAAACTAATGCTTATAATAATAATAATAATACTGTAATATATTACATACTATATATTTTCTTTTTTTTTAATTCTGTCTTTCACCTTTTTCAAATGATTCGAAATTTTTCTAAATAATAATGAAACTTTAATGTATATTTGTTAAGTTAAAAATAGTACAGTACAATACAAATTCCCATAGCTACTATTTTAGCCTACAGAAAAATACTTTTTGTTAGCTTCGAATTTACTCCTTTTTACTTACAAAATATGTATATATTTTTTTAGTAATCTATCTACAAACACATTTTTTGTTTTTTGGTTTCTCTATCTATAAATACATACTATATATATTTTTCAGCTTTATGGCACCTGCCTGAAGAAACACAAACACTTTCTCTTAAATTAAATGTATAATTAAATACTTCTGTTATATTTAAAATTAATATATATTATATATATGCTCTGATCTTTATTGAGCTTGACTTTATAACTTTATGCATCAAAAAAGTGCTCACTTTTTGTTAAATATACATGAAAAAGCTTCTAACAATAAAATATCACATTCAATTTACAGTCTAGTACGAACAATATTTTTATAATTTACAATGAAATTATCTAAGTAGCTTAGAGAAAATCTAAAAAATAGCATTAAGGAAAGTTCAGAAAATATTATTAAATATTTATTCAAATTAAAACTATCTACAAAAGCAAGCATTGATAAAAAAAATACAGTAATATCATCATTAAGGAACTTGTTAAAAATGATGAGACATCACGCAAAGAATATAAATTCTTAAATGTATAGCTAAATAGACTAAAAGAATATTACAAACTGTAAATAGAGAAAGTTACACTTTTTTTAAAAAAACAAGATCTATATAGTATAATATCTCTTATAGATTATATATACAAAATTTACAATCAAATTTCACCAAAGAACTATATAAAAATTCTATCAATAGTAAAGAGTCACAAGAAGATAGTAAAAATTTATCATTATGAATTCCATATAAGTTTTCATTTTTAGCCTCTAAACAAGGCTTGTATATAGAACCAATATTAGCACATGTTGAAAGAGCATTATTTCAATTTGTAGTAAAAAATCAGGACTATATTCCTTTGAACACTGTAAAAAATTTTGCAGTTAATTGTAACCCTTCAAAAAATATTGATTTTTTGAATACAGACATATTGTGTCTTCTAAATTTTATCATAAACAATATTTCTTTGTTCATTATTTCCTATTTAGATCAAACACATCTCATGAAGAATACAAATTAAAACTCTTGAAAATTCTTGAAAATTCTTAAATCATTTAAGAATGAAGTCAGAAATCATTATGCCTATAACATAACCCAAATTAAGAGTAAATGGAGTGATGAAAACTCACAAGACTTTCAACCTTAGCATTGGAATTAGTGAATTGTTTAGATAAGTCTTATAATACACATCATTTGCATATTACTTTGAATACTTATTAGTAATTTTAATAAAATAATAGATGATACATATGCTTTCAAGGATTTGTTAGAGATAAAAAAAAATTTAAATTCTGAACTTGCTAAAAATATGTTACCAATAAAAGAAATAATGATGATGATTACAATGAATTTAAAAACTTATTACTGATGACGAAGATCTTGAAATGCTCGTAGATTTTGCCTTAGATGTAGTTGGAAAAATAAAATCAGAAAATCAAGATCATTTAAATAAGATCGTTCGATTGGCGATAGATAAAAATGAATCATTAATGAACATTTGGAAATTTCTGGTAACTCGAGAGGACGAAAATTCCAAAATTAAAAAATTTATTTCTTTAATGAATATTTGCTTTAATATGGTAAGTATTTATTTCAAATATGTCTTGAATACTCGATATGACAAACAACTGTACAACTAATTGCATAATTTTATTTCTAACAGAACTTAAAGAAAGTTGAAACAACTTAAAATTTAATGTTTTTTTTTTTTTATTGATAATAATTGTGAGCGTATTGAGATGTAATTTCATAAATTTATCATGATAAACATGACATAATTTTTTTTTTTAAAAAAAACTGACGAAATTTAAGTATAAAAACCTAATGTTATGGATAAAGGCACATTCTAGTTATGCAATTTGCAAAAATGAGATCTTTGTGTAAAAATTTAAATAAGAGAAAAAATTAGAATTATCTTGATATGAATTAAAATTTAAATTTGTAAATATTAATAATTGAATAAATGGAATCCACGATATTAACAAATTATTGGCAGACAATTTTATTAAATTTTTATCAAATGTCTTTTATCAAATTTTTGTTGATCAGCCAAAAAGAATAAATGCTATAATCAGATTTTAGAGACTACGAATTTTGAATGTAAGCAATGCGGTAGCTCATATACATATTACATTTTAATATATACCATTTTTATTTGTCTGCTGCCATTTAAATTGCATTTACATTATAGCTATTTTCATAATTCCTGGAGCACCTAATAAAAATTGGCCGAATGATTTTTTAGCTAATTCAATTAAGTTGTAATTTCGGCACAATATGTATAATAAAAACTACATTGTTTTATAATGAATGTTTTACAGACCATTATAACAATAATGTCAACATTATTAAACATTCATTCGAATGCTTATCCAACATGTTTAATATGTCAATTAAGTCTTAACAATATGCACTATATATTAATTAAATATTTGTAATAAATATATTGCACGAAGTACATGTTAAAAAATTCTGTATATAGATAAATATTACATTTATTTGTATATACAAGTTGGTTCGTAGCCCTTCAAATTGTTATAACGTCTTACCAGAGTTCCATCTCAGATTGTAATTTATATTTTTTTTCATTAAAGCTTTAAAATATTTTGTGTTAGTGAATGTGGTTCTGAGAGTGATGGATGCTGTTAGTGGGAAAAGAGCAGGGACACGAACTACCCAATCACCACTCAAAACACCACAACCAAATAACCAACCCAACAATATACCCGATGGGTAGAGGCGGAAACGATTTGGTGAGAAAAGGCTAAATTGGGCATATCATGGAGACAAAAAGCAACTCATCTCCAACTTATTATCAAAACATTCACCACCCTTTATTAAGAGCAAAAAGAGCCCATTTTATACAGTTTTATATGCGGAGGAGAATAAAATAAAAAAAAGAATCTTATTCTAATCTAAGCCCATCACGCCATTTCTCCCACTTTTCACAACAACAATCGCTTTGCCTCCTCAGGCTTACGATTGTTTACAATCTCCAGCACTGCCCAAACATAGGGTCTTGTGGTCTTGGGCTTCATGGGAAAACTAATTCCTCACGATTTCTTTACGATTCTGTGGGACTTCGGATCCGGACTTTATCACATTTTCAGGTCCTGTGGTAGCAAAATCAGCACAGCGAATTTTGGCAGTTTTGCCACCAACAATGCTTTCAATACATCCATATATAACGAAAAGCATAAGTGCGCTTGGTCATGTGTTTGAAATAATTCCGGACAGCCAAAGGTGCCGGAAATGAATTCAATTAAAGGACTTTAAGTCTACAGAATACATGAATATATTGAATTGGTAATTTTAAGTAATTTGAACTGAAACGATGATATACTCCCGAAAGATTAGTAAGTAAGATTGCACCAGGTATCATCATAACAGTAGAGCGCGTGAGAAGCAGCATCAGCCGGTGGTTTCTTGCCTGCTCAAAGCAGGCCGGCTGTTAAATAGGAAAATGGCAGAATCAGGAGACTGTTCCAAAAAAGATTTGGTGTTGGGATTCTGCCATTTTCTATCATGCGATGGTGTGTCTATGTTGGGGTCTGTGTGTATATGATGCTGGTTGCGATCTATGTTAAATGAGCCTCATAGGCTGCTGGGATGGCTTTCAAGACAATGTTTGTGTGTTGTGCTCACATGCTACTTAGTTGGTGATGAACTGATTCGCAAGGCTTTCTTTCTTTTTTTTTTTTTTGACTTTTGGATTTATTTATTTATTATTTGTGTTTTGTTTGGTTTTTTTTTTTTTTTTTTCTAGCTTGGAAAGGCTTATCTGTTCACTTTACTCGCCCTGTAGGTACATGTAATTGCATTGTTCATTCTTACATGCCGGTTTCCTTTTTGTCATTATCGACCTTATTATACTATTATTATTGTCATTATTATTTATATATGTTATTTATTTATTCATCTATCTATGTGTCGTATATTTGTTCATACTTTTGTTTGTCGTTGTTATTTATTGCGATTGGGTTGGCCAAGGCTCCAACAATAAGGGTTATGAGGGCGGCTCAATCGCAATATGCTTTTATCAATATTGTAGCTATCGTGGCTAGATGGGTTCAAATGTACCTGTAGAAGGACTCTGAGCTCCATCTACCAATTTTCTGGATCAGAATAAGCTGGACTCCGCGTATAATGAGCTCAGTTGTGCCCCTTGCCCTGAAACTATGGCTTGCCACATCCTTAGCTAGTAAGAACTGTTTGAGTCTATCAATGAAATGCCGCTTTGTTGCCTATAACCCATCTGCTTTGGTGAATAATAATTTACTTTTGTGTAATACAGTTGGGTTCGTTCTTTGTACAATATAGGCCTTTAGAGCGTCTATTGGGCACAGGTTATCGTATGTTGGATTAATAGTTAGGGAGGTGCATATGGCTGTTTTATGATTTTTAATACGTGCTAGTTGTATGGTAGCATACATGTGATGACTGACTTTTTCAAACATCAGTGCGCCAAGGGTCGAAACCTTGTCAATGTCTTGACGTGTTGTGGGAAGGAGTTCCTCTAAGCAGGCCAAGCTATAAAAGGCTGAGAGGGCTATTGCCCAGAACAATATGTTATTCGGCTTGTTGAAGTCTAGGTTAGCCCTTAGGATTCGTAGGTGAGGTCTTGTAATGTGAGATTTCTGTTTGATAGACTTATGAATGTGGTTTTGGTTAATAGTTTTTAGCAGCTAAATGACCAGAGGATCGCTGCACGTTTTGTTCCAGTCGAGGTGGTTCATGTTGTGGTGGTGTTTCAAAGCTGACAAATATAACAAGAGGGTCAGGGGAGCAACCTTGTCATGCATATGTGTGATGAATTTTATGAGGTGCTCTTTGAAAATCGGCCAAATGTCTCTTTGAGAGTTGGTCCATTAGTTGTTGACCACTAATGCTTCATACTGCTTTACAGCTAATTTGTATGTTTTGTTCATTTTTCTGTCTACCCCCAGTATTAACGTAGTTTGTTAGTCGAGCGGCAAAGTCAGAGCCTGAGTGCGCGCCATCTTGCCCGCTGGGTTGTAGTACTCTATTGGATCAGAGATGAGATTGTACAAATTGGATTAGAATATATTAGTGGAACGACTAGTTGCAGGTAACGCACAGTAGGGTTATGCTTCAAGAACTCTCTATACCCATTCCACGAAAGTAAGTCTGCCTGAGAATTCACTTTGCCTGGGATGTATTCAAATTTGATCGAGAAACTGCCTTGAATTTGTGCTTGATAAATTTGTGCAATAATGTTGTTGATTTCTGTCTGCCTGCAGTAGTCATTGTAAATGGCTTTAGCGTTGGCCTGATTATCAATCCATATGATGAACCGTTTCTGCACCCATACGGGTGCGAAAGTCAATATAGCAATGAGCGTAGTAAGCAGCTCTTGCTCCTGAATGTTGTATAGGGACAGGTCCAGTTCTCGAGCTCAATTAAAGGTTGTAAAGTATGTCTAGAATGTTGCACCACTGCAAAGGATTGAAGCATCGTAAAAAGATTTTGTGCATCTGGCCTCAGCCAAACCCGATCCTCCATGAGGTATGTGCTAGACCAGGCAGGGAGTGTCGTTATCTACTATTGGATATCAGATTTCATGGGATCATTAATTTTAATGTGGGACTTCAGCCCTTGCACCGTATCAAGGACTTTAATAAATCATTGTATGAAGGGTCTTCCTTGTAAAATAATCTGGCATGCCCACATTAATAAACTGATTAGAGACTGAAGCTCTTTCTGAAAGCATGACCGTTTGCCTAACTATTGCTCCAAGAAAGCAATAATTTTTTGTTTTTTAGCTGCAGGTATCGTGGCCGAAAAAGATAAAGTATTAAGCCAGATGCCAAGAAACGTGATAGTGGTGGCAGGCCCCTCAAGCTTGGATGGCTTGTGTGAAATATTGAGAATGCCAAGAATGCGGAAGAACCGATCTAGCTTCTGATATCTACTTGACCCTGATATGATGAGAAAATCGTCCACGTAGTGGATAATGGATAGTATACCCTAAGGCCATACAAATTTAATTACTTGGTTTTCATAACATGAAACTTTTAAATAGACCCGGCCGGCCGGCTTTTTTT